TCTTCACGGGCAACATAAATCCCGATCATCGCAGAGTTTAGTTTTCCTTTCTACATGAATTGTACATGTCCGCTTACAATGCTTTTCCTTCACAGTAATGCAGGTTGTGATACGCTCATGTGACAGCTAAATAACTGTATAATCTGATCTAATTAAAAACATGGCCCTACAGAAATCTAGATGAATGTAAAATGGTGCCAGCACTGAAGTATTTTTGTTTGTGCTCCGGGTGTTGGCTCTTACTTTTCAGAGAAACGGTCAGTAAATAGTTTCGTTTCTGCAGCACAGAAAGCACTTGCTCCGCTGACGTCACGCGAGCAGCGCACCAATCAGCGCGCAGAAAGCATCTGCTCCGCTGACGTCACGCGAGCAGCGCACACAGACTGCGGACAGCGAGCACGCAGCACAGCTCCGCTCTCTATTACTGCACAAGGCAAGTTATGTACATACTTCATAAACAATGGGAATTCAGTGTTATGCTTTACACAGGAGAGATGTAAACATCATCAAAGTTTCCTCATTATTTTTATGAAGAGTTTAGACAGTCCATGAAGAGCTGGTCATTGCATTAAGTTGATTATATAGTGTTTTGTTGCAGTGAAATAATCGGCTCGTGATGGACGGGTGCGCACAGATGTGTAAATGTTTCCTGATCCTGTTTAACATCCTGTTCGCTGTGAGTATGCCTGAGATTTGATTCAGATTTACTCTTCTACCGGTTAAACACCATCTCCTTTGATAAAAGCATGCTATAAATGTTTTTTTCTTCTTTTTCTGTGCATATATATATATATATATATATATATATTCTGCCTGTATATGAACTTGTTTTATACTAGGTACTTGATTGTGTTGCAGTATGTGTATGTTTCAGGGTTTTGTGTTGCAATATCCTGTCTTGTCAAACTTCAAATGAAACGAAACTAAAGGCATGTGCATATGTAAATGAAGTGCTAGTGTTGACTGTATTTGCGTGAGGCGCAGTGAAGGCCGCTGGGGTTTCTGACAGCTGTGCTGTGTCTTGCAGCTGCTGGGGCTCGGTCTGGTGGCTCTGGGAATGTGGCTCCGCTTCGGCGCAGAGACCCGAGGATTCTTCGACATCGATCTGAACACCACACAGTTCAACATCGGTCTGTTCTGTGATGTTTCTCACTGACTGATGTTGACATGCGTGGTGCTGAAGCGTGACTCTCCGTGTCCGTGTGTGTGTCCGCAGGAGTGATGGTGCTGGTGGTCACCGGGGTCCTGATGCTGCTGGTGGCCATCATCGGTGACTGTGGCGCGTGTAACCACAGCAAACCAGCTCTCAGTGTGGTGAGAAAGAGCAGCACCACTAACACCTCACACTCACTCACAGAGCAGAAGCATTACAAAGCTGTTAAACTCCTTCAGGATTCAGAGCACAAAACTCTCATTTGTAGACATATTTTTTAAACATTTTGTTTTTCTGATGTTCAGTTTTCTGGCCTGCTGTCCGTTCTGATCATCATTGAAATCGCAGCTGGTGTGATGGCCTTCACGTGGAGCGGACGGGTAACACACACACACACACACACACACACACACATACACAC